GGCCTTTATAAGTAAGTCAGTGGATGCGTGAGGAAGTGGAGCGGAGGTGTGGGTTCTGGTGGGACCTTTGCCAGAAAGCCCTTCAACTCGGGAGCGATGCTGAAAAGATTTCTTGGAGAGTATTTTTAGTTAAACATCTTACACATGGTTTTCCAGTTTAAAAAATGAAACAGAGCCATGATTTTCAGCCCTCCCTGAGCAGTTAAGTCACTCACACTTTCAGGGTTGAACCACAGCTGTTTCTTGAGATCGTGTGAAAAAGTTACCATCTTTCTCCCCCGTTACAGGGGCTCATTTCTGTTGCTCTGACAAAAGCTTCCGAAAATGAAGGCTTTATTCCAGTGAACAAAAATCTCTGGTAGGTACAGAGAGCATGACATTTTCCTCCGGCCGGGCCGACGTCGGGTGTGCCCGGGAGCCTGACGCCCGCTCGTCCCACCCCCCAGGTCCATCTCCTACATCACCACGCTGAGCGCCTTTGCCTTCTTCATCCTGCTGGTCCTGTACCCCGTTGTGGACGTGCATGGACTGTGGACGGGGACCCCGTTCTTCTACCCGGGTGAGCACCCCCGGCCTGGCTGCGTGTCTGTAGGAGGGGACCCAGCGGGCTCACCCCTAAGGTCCACACGCACCGCTGCTTTGGGGCCGTAGCCGATAAGGGGAGTGGATGCTCAGTGTTTTCTCGCTGAACCGGAGCCGAACCTCCAGAGTTCGGTCAGTGACGAGGCGTGTCTCTCCCAGGGATGAACTCCATCCTGGTGTACGTCGGCCACGAGGTGTTCGAGAACTACTTCCCCTTCCAGTGGAGGCTGGGGGACAGCCAGTCGCACAAGGAACATCTCATCCAGAACCTGGTCGCCACCGCTCTCTGGGTGCTCATCGCCTACGTTTTGTATAAGAAGAAGGTTTTTTGGAAAATCTGAGCGCCCCAGCTGCGGTGCGTTGCTGGCAGAGCCTGCAGGGCCTGGGGAATCGTTAAAAGGAGTCACTCGTCATAAAACGGGTGGGCTGTGTATCTCCCGATCGTGGGGAGTCGGAACCTGCCTGTGCACGTGGGACTTCATAACCGTCGGAGATGTAATTGTCTCTCCTCTCCATCCCCGATGTAGTGGATTTGGAACTTCGTTCTGAGGATTTCTCATGTAAGTTTTCCAAAGGGAACTACCAGGCCATTTTGCTTCTGTGGCAGATAAAACAGCCTCAGGTCAGATTCTCACTGATCTGGGTTTCCTGCAAACCGCCTTCCCACGGGCGTCCACGCCAGCCGAGATACCAGCGTTTCTGCTCTGACCACTTGCCAGGCTTGTTGGGCGCAATGGCTCCTCACACAGCCTCGCATGTTTTGAAGTCCAGTGTAATACTTCAGGAAAGTCAAAGTCATTTCCTACCACTCTGTGAGGCATTAGTGGGTCCAAAAATATGTCTTTCTATCTGGAGCCATTGTTTCTTTTCCCATGTGAAAAAAAGTTAAACCTTAGCTGTGTTATTCCAGCCACTCTTGCTTATGGTCACCTACTTAGGTGTCTGTCAATCACCTGCCTGTCTTCTGTCCCCCACCCACCTCGCATCTGTCCATCTTTCTCTGTATCTGGACAGTGGCTGGTCCTGGGGCCGTGGCTGTGGGAGAGAGAAGCCCGCTGTCCCAGCCGCGGCTCCAGCCCTGCCGTCCGTCCATGGAGGGTGCCCGACAAGCCCCGGGCAGCCAGGGAGGGGATGCAGCCTCCCACCTCCCCTCTGACTCTTAGACTCGGTGCAGAGGATACATGGATGGCTTTTCTGAAATCCGTAGAGAAGTCATTTTATCACAGAAGACTCTTGAAAATAATGAGAAACGTTTAAACTCTCATCGGAGTTTGGGGAGAGATGGGGCTGCTGGAAACAGACCAGAACATCGTCCGCGCGGGGGCTGGAGCAGTGGGACAGGCTGCGGTGCCCCCATCTGACCAGGCGAGGGTGGGCAAGTCCAAGCTACAGTCACGTTTTCCTTCAGCATGGGATTCCCACAGGAGGTTCCTGATACGGTGGTGCATCACGTGGGCGCTCTCCCTGAACTCACCCCGACCTGTGATCGCCCATGGACCACCCCGCCTGGACGTCCGCCAGCACCCAGCCCAGTCCTTCCCCTTCCTCCCCCGTGCACAGCTGCCAGGCGTGGACCGCGCCCTCCCCAGTGCACACCTGCCGGGCATGGACGCCCCCTGCCCCCCTCCCCAGTGTAGACTTGCCGGGTGTGGACCGCTCTGGCTCCGTGGATAGGTCTCCCTCTGTCTCTCAGTATAAAACTTTCTCGTTATCCTCCAGTCCCCTTTCCCGTGTTGAGTTGTTGACAGTCTTAATTCTGGATCTGTCCCTCACCTAGACCTTCTCACTCTCGGGGCTGCTGCCTTTTCCTCTTGCCCAGACTCCTGGAACCATTCTTAAACCGGCCCCCTTCCCTCAGTCCCTGCCTCCGTAAAGTCACGATCCATTGCCACCAGGTCAGGCTTCAGAAAGCAGAGCTCAAATCGGGTCCCCCCGCTTTATAGAAACTTCCAGTTGGAACAGCTTTGCCGGGCATAGACCCACTCTCCATCGAGCCCAGCACGGCTGTCCGGCTTTCTCTCCCCGGCCCCGCAGACCCACCTGACTAATTCCATCCTGACCCCCTCCTCCCGCCTGCGGCAGGTAGCCAGTTGTCCTGCCTCTGACTCGGATTCTGGTCCTCCTGGGTGACTTTTCCCCCGTAACTTTCTCCCATCTACATCGGACCCGCTTCTAAGGCACCTTCTCTCGGCTCTTATTCTCATCCTAAAGTAAGACTCTCTTCCTCTGGGTTCTCATAATAGCTCCTAGGGCTCGATCTGGCATTTGTCACTTGCTGGATTGTGTGACAGTTACCTGTGTACATGACCAGTCTCCCACATGGGGACACCGTGTTCATCTGCACGGTCTTTGTGGTGCAAACACAGGGCCTTGTGCAGAGCAGGCGCTAAATAAACATTTGTTAAAGCAAAGCAGTGGCGGAGGGTTTGTTTTTAATATTTAAGTGCTGATTAAATTTAGCGCGTGTCTGGAGTGCTGCACAGCAGTGTTCCCGGAACTGATGTGTGTGTGTGAGTCTGTCATCTTGGAGGAAACCCTTCTCTTGCAGTGAACTGTGTGGGTGGTCACAGCTGCGCCACCCCAAAGCCAGCAGGTCAGGCCTCCCCAGAAGCATGTCTCAGGTGGGGGGTACATCACAGGATGTCCTGAGCCGTAAGGAGCAGGAAATCCCGATTCAGCTGAGTTAGGAGAGCCTCGCACGTAAGTAGTCCCCAGCTCAATGCCTGCCCCACTGCCGTCCTGATGGCCACACACACTCCACCAGTGTGACACTCCCGGGAGGGGGCTGGGGAGGGCATCCTCTGCCTCAGATTTTATCGGCCAGAAAACCCTCCCCAGAAGCGTCTCAGCAGCCTTTCCCTCGTGTCTCATTGGCTGCAGGTGCCTCAGTGGATGGTGCAAAGCCAGTCGTGATGAGGGCACTTGAATGGTCTGGCCCAGGGAGGAGTAGGGGACAGTCACCTCCTTGGGGAGGGGCAGGGAGTGTTGGAGGGTGAGTGGAGGGGGGATTTTTAAAAATCCTAAGCGATACGCTGTAGAAGCCATGCCCTATAACAGTGCAGCTTTGGAGATTTTTTAACACTTTTTGTTTAAACTTTGAAATTGGGAAAACGCATCACCCAACCTAGTCTTTAGTTGCACATTTGTGTATCGTCTCCGCCAGTGGAGCGAGCCAGCGTCTTTCTCCTGGTGATCAGCTTTTGTTGGGCAGTAGTTCCAGAACGTTGCTTTTCTTCGGGCTGTGTGTATTTCCAAATTCCAGGTTGGTGTAAATGCTCAATGTTTGGATTATGTCATAAAATGCCTCAGACTCCATACATCCCTTATCTAAATGTGTGCGTCAGAACACTCACGGGACAAAATGTGCCCTTATCCCGCTGGCTTCCTTCGCGGAATCCGCCCCAAACCGTGAGGACAGCGGGCCTCGCTCCCCGCAGCACCGGGCCCTCGGCTCCCCATGGCGTCTGTCACCATCCTGGTTCTGGTGGGGTTCTGTCCTGACCACTGGGACTTCCTCCACACAGGTCAGTTCTTTTTCTGATTATCCACTTTTCGTGGCTGTTCATTCTTGTATTTTATAAGTAGTCACAGCCTTCCTTTTGCTAAATAAGACCGTTTTCCTTCTATTTGATTAGACTCTGAATGTCATTTGGCTTGTAAACAGGTACCTCCGCCCAATTCCTGCTCCGCCCAGGAGATGGCTTGTATCAGTTCAACAAATCCCAGGGGAATAGTTGCTCTTGTCAAAGACAAACCAAGCCAGACACTGTTGGCGTAGAGTGTTTAGCGACACAGTAGCAGTGGGGAGGAGGGCCCAGTGTGAACGGAACTACTTTCCAGAAACAAAAGGCTGGAGACTTTCCCGCCACCTTTCAAAAGATTGAAGTGTAGTTGATTACAACGTCCTGTTAGTTTCAGGGGTACAGCAAAGTGATTCAGTTACATACACACACACACACACATATATAAATATATAAGAGTGTGTATATTCTTTTTCAGATTCTTTTCCATTAGAGGTTATTGCAAGGCGAGTGCTGGCTCACTGGTGGGTGGAGTCAGGGTCCTGAAGACTCTGGGGCTGCTGCCCGCCCACTGGCATGTGAAGGCAGATCCTGGGGTTAGTGCCGGCCTGCTGACCGGCAGAGCTGGTTCCTGGAGTCTGACTGCAGGGTCCAGGGACCCCCGAGCTCATTTCAGATCGCTGGTGGAGGTGTGCTGGTTCCTGGCCCAGTTAGGTATGGGGTCCACGGTATCCTGAAGGTTGCGTTGGTCTGCTAGCGGGCAGGGCTGGGTTCCAGCTGGCCCCAGGGCAGGGTCTGGCCTGCTTCTGGAAGACTCGTTCTGCGGGCTACGGGACTGTGGTTTTTCTGCTTCTGGTGTCTGTCCCCTGGTGGGTGAGGCTGGTTTAGAGGCTTCTGCAGGCTTCCTGGTGGAAGGAGCCAGTGCTTGCTGGTGGGTGAGACTGGGTCTTGGCCCTCTGGTAAGCATGGCAGGGTCTAGAGGCATGTCCAGAGGCAGCTGTGGGCTTAGGAAGTCTTTAGGCAGCTTGTCTTCTGATGGGTGAGGCAGTATCTCCAGCCAGTTGGTTTTTAGGTGGGAGGCATTCCAGCCCTGGCACCTGCAGGCTGTTGGGGGAAGGCAGGCCTTGGCGCTAATGAGCCAAGCTGGAAGCTGCCAGCAACAGCATTCATGCTGCTGAATTCTCCCAAATATGCCTGCCACTGGTGTCCTTGTCCTCAGGGTGAGCCACAGCCACATCCCCCAACTTCCCTAGGAGACCCTCTAAGACCAGCAGGTAGGTCTGGCCCCGGCTCCTGTCAGATTACTCCTCTTTCCCTGCGTCCCAGTGCACATGGGATTTTCTGTGCACTGTTTACAAGTGTAGCCTCTATTTTATATGAGTGTCCCCTTCCTACCCATCTTGTTGTGGCTCCTTCATGCCGTCAGCTGTAGATCCTTTCTGGTAGGTTCCAGTCTTTTCCATCTATAGTTGCTCTGCAGATGGCTGTGATTCCGAGGTGCCCACGAGAGGAGGTGAGTTCAGGGTCTTTCTGCTCGGCCATCTTGGGTGATCTTCCCGGGCTCAAGACGTCATAAAGGCTGACTGCTCAGGAAAGGGACCGAGGGCTGTGGTGGGGCTGGTCCACGTGACTGGGCCATCTGGGTTCGTTCACTGGTGCTTTTCTGGAGAAGCAAACTTCTGTCCCTGTGCCAGGACACCGTGGTGCAAGTTGAAGCCAGGTCCCCATGGGATTAGGCCCCAATCCTCCCTGGATGTTTGAATTTGAGAGAGAACTCCTTGAGGAAACAGTTCCGGGAGGCAGTTTCATGTCTCATAGAACAGGGGAAGGGTTTATAACTGCCAGCTTTCTAAAGTAACTGCCCTAAGAGGGGGTTCAGGGGCCATCCTCTCATCACTGGGTCTGGACTCGAACAGTGAATTCTCCCGACGGCACGCAGCTTTCTCAGGCAGGCGTTTTCAGGGGGCTGGGGGCATCCTGGGGACACATCTAAAGCTGCTGGAAGGTGAGCTGGACTTTGGCCGTCTCAGTGTGGGGTCTGGACAGACCCTCACATGCCGGCGGTCGGTCGCCCTCTTGCGAGCCCGTCCCGTCTGCACAATTGGTCTGAGTGTCCGTGCTATCCCGTGGCCCTTGCCCTGCAACTCTGCAGAAGCAGTGCCACTGATTGGAGGAAAAGGTTATGAAACCACAAGGTACCAGAGTGTTTAATTTGAGAGCTGTTAGGGGACAACATGCCATGGTGAAAAAACAACAGGATGGTTTAATATTTGTAATTGACTCATGTTACAGCGATAGGTCTTAAAATGAGCTAGTTAAAATAGTTTCTGTAATCAGACATCTATGACTTACATCACCTTAGTGATTTTACTATATCTATAAAAAGGGTCTTATGTAGAAAAGATTCTACAATTTTTAATGCCAAGTAATGAAACTGGGCCCCACAGGCCGACAGAGCCTGGACTAGCAATCCCTGGGCTTGTCCCACACCTGAGACACTGTCACTGCCCGTGGCCTGCTGTCCTGGAGCAAGCGCCCTTTGGTTATTTCCTTTCCTTTTTCTTCTTCTCTGTAGATGCGCAGCCTCCCAGCTCCCAGTGTCCCAGGAACTTGGCTCCTGCTCGGCACGAGCTGGTTGGGACCACTGACCCCGAAATGGAGCCTGCAAGGGGGTCCCATGAATGGCCTCTGACGTCAGGAATCTCCATCCTCTCAGATCACGCTCAGGGTGTCGCTGTGCGTGTGCAGATGCACGGGCACTGGACCCCCATCGCCTCACCCCTCCCCACGTCTGCAACCTACTTACACCCCAAACACGCCAGTCTCCTCACCTGCGCCATGTTGGGCCAGTGGACCTACTTGGGAACAGTAACTCAACAACTCGTTAGCTCTTTCAGTCTTAAATCCCCCTCGAAACTGCTGTTCATGTGATGCTTACCTGATATATTTCGGGAACAGCCGAAAAAAGAAATGAGCCTGACGGCCGACACCAGTCACACACAGAGAGGAGCGAGGTCCCATCCCAGCACATTGCTTTCTGTCTACACCAGCTCGTGGGGGACGTGCCAAGGCCTGTGTTTCCCACGATGACGATGAGGCACAAAGGAATGACCTTGTCCGGTACGGGGCTAGTGAAGGGCCTGTGGAGCCGGGGTGGAAGCCAGGTGTCTGGCTCAGGGCACCCGGGGGACAGCGGCCTGCATGGTGGTGGGGGGGTGCCCCCCTCTCCCTTCCTGGGCAGGACACCCCCCTCCTATGGCACCTTCAGGGGAAGTTCAGTCAAGTTCGTTTCGGCATAAAGGTTTTTGGTATTAAAACGTCCTGAAGGAAAAAGTCTAGCATTACATTGATACGTAATATCTGCCAAAGCCTAACTAGAAGATAAAATCTTGTGATAACAGAAGGAAATGTCTTTTAAAGTAAAGTACAACTTTGGAAACTCCTAAGATGTAAAATTTTTTAAAAATCCCAAATCTAGGATGCTTTTATTTACAAAACAGGTTTGATTTTTTTGTTTTACAAAAGTTACAAAAAGTGACAAAAATAGAACTAGCTTCTCAGACTCTTGGGAACCACTTCTCGGCAGCCAGGGAGCTCAGACTCCGAGGGCCGTCCCTCGCGGAGCGGGGCGTCCCCGGGCTCCGCAGCCCGGCTGGGCCGTCAGGCCAGCGTCTGGAGGAGCAGGACCTTCTCGTTGACGCAGAAGCGGTGCAGGACCAGCATCAGGTTCTCCCCGCAGCGGGACACCTGGCGCTCCATGGCCAGGCGGAAGTCCTCCTTCACGCCCTTGGTGATGCCCCGAGTGACCGTGTGGTGCCTGGGGGCGGCGACAGGGAGACAGACGGGCGGCCCGGTTAGCAGGCCTCCGGGCCGGGGCTCTGGGGCAGGGTCCAGCCTGCCCCAAATCCTAAGTGAAAGATGTAACAAGAAA